TCACCATGGGGCGAGCGTCATCGTCGGCTACAAAGCACATCAATAATACATTCTCTGCGGCTGTCCTCAGGCACCGCGACTCATAGGCATTCGCAGTAGCGCCACCGCAATGCGCGCATTTGTAAATTTATCCTATTTTAGGAATCGTTAGTTATACGTGACAAATTCGTTGAAAATGAAATAAGAGTAATCATAAACATCTCTTTTTGGAGAAACACAAAACACAAGTATAACCGGCTCAAGACAAAAAAAAAATATTTAAAAAAAGGAGACTCGAACTTTCCTTAACGAAATAGAAATCAGGGGAAGGCCTAGCCTGTACTAGGTTTACTGAGTTTTTAAGGCGCCGCTGCCTTCTATCCAAAAATGCCGAAGAGATATTATTCAAAAGAGTGTTTGATTAGCTAAGTCTAATTATCGACAAATGATCACTTCAGCATTTACTTTACTAATGCTACTAGGTATTTCACTGAGAGTTCCTTTTTATTCCACCCCTCAACTTAACCCTGTGGCGGATAAAATCTATTTATAAAATCGAGATATTGCATTTATAGTATTCTCAGTTAAAAAAATACATACGAGTACGCAAACTGATCCTGCCGCATACCAGTACCATTTTGAAGTGTTTTTTACAAATATTCTACGATTGTAAAGCGAATGTTTTGCAATCCATACAACGCCTCTTCGTTTGCAACTTAGCGATTTCAAATCCAAGCTATACTCTCGGAATTGCAATGTAGGAATCAAATGTTATTAGACATGGGAAAACTGTATAGAACTAACAAGAAAACCTCCAAAATAACCGCATGTAAGAACGATCGCGAAACATTAAATCTCTGTGGTTCTATAAGATTCATGCAGCAATCAAAGAACTTAATGGAAAATTGATTCATTAGGACTAGATCCTCTCAGGTGCTATAATAGCAGCATAGTTGAAAAGACACAAACATACCGCATTAATAGTATCCGGGTTAGATTCAAGCGCTCGCCATTGTGGCATTGACATTTTGGAAAACAGAAAACTAAAAAAATTC